CCTAGCGAAATCTAGCGGCATGTTAATGAACACCTGTACATTGAACCGAACCCCGAGTCATTCCATCCCTTGTTTAGAGTGACATCTAACCAGCTGTTCTGTAGTGATTATATCGTTACCGTTACAGTGCTGAACATAGGCCTCATCTGATTGTTACTTTTTACATACTTCCAAAGTTTATATCAATATTACTTTTAAAATCAATAATTTCTTATGTGCTGATCTTAAATGTTCACACGTAACTGGTAGAGCCATGCCGCTTATTAAGTTAAGTTATTTGTTATTTAATTAGAAAGATTTACTATCGTGTGATGGATGAACCATAAGACCGGTGGTCTCGTATAGTGCGAATGTTCTCACAATTTGTGATAACAGATATGAATATGATATTGTTATATTTATTTTGTACTCACGAGTTGATTATTCTTGATTTATATTTTGTTAGAAGCTTTAATACCGTAGTCAAGTTAATCCGTGACAAGTGATGAGTTCATAGTAACGTCGCAGCGGCGCGTCGTTGCCACGCCGTGTTCATGTTGCTAAATACTAATACACGGACTAAATAAATTATTATATACGTTTGTGTTTTTTTCTGCAGACTTCCAAAAAGGAGACGGTACTCAATTCGACTATATGTTTTTGGTTTTTTTTTTATGTGTGTTACCTCATAACTTTTTACTGGGTGAACTGATTTTTATGATTCTTTTTTTATTTGAAAGATGATACTCGTGTCCCATATAAATTTGATCAAGATCAGACCAATAGCTTTTGAGTTATTCTTAATAACTTATATTGAAGTCGGCTGTACAAAATTTTTAATTATTTACGACATAAGTAACCTTTGGAATCAATTTAAACATTTTAATATACGTTAATATCGTTACGAACCTACAGTATTTATAATTAAATTAAAGCGAAAGTATAGGCTATGTACAATTATTATAAACTAATTATCTATAATAGATTATATAATATTAATATGTATATGTATAAAGTTTATATATCAACTTTGATATTAATTAGAGCCACGCTGCAGCAATATTATGGTTGTAGCACGAATGGGTCGGTTCGACCGGGGTAGGACCACGCTCTCACAGAATACCAGCGTAAAATAGCAGCTTAATGCTACTGTGTTTCGTGGAGAGAACTGGAGACCCTTATTACTGGAAACGAGGCATTCCATCTTAGTCCTCAGTCATAGGGTGATAACGCATCTGTATTTTGATTTTTAATTGAGGATAAATGTAGATAGATATCTGTAGCCACAGCATCCATTTACCATCAGGTGTAGTGTGTGCAAGTTTGTCACCCCTATTCTCTAAACTTAAAGCGTTAGTAAATTACGATTTTTTTAACATGTACATAACTCATTATTTCTTATTATTCGAACCTGATCTCCAATTTTACAGCCCTTCCACTCATCACTTATCCAAATGGATCAGATTCAAGTACCTACCGTGCCCGTGCCCTTCGTCATTGTAATCACCAAAGTAAGGGCGGGGTTTATTGCCTTCGCTGATTTATCACCACTAGAATATATTAATGGGGATTACCCACATGCGACACGTTAGAAGAGTCTCTTACTTCTACCGAGTTTTTTTTAAATAGCATAATAAAAAAAGTGACAAGAACTTCACAGTCACCTGTTGATAAGTGACAGTCAGACTAGTACATTTTATAAATTGAAGTAAATTTTCAGCAAAAAGCAACAAATAAGTGTATATACGTATAATTCGTGTGTAAACAGAAATGGTAGAAGTTTTTAAAGTTTTACTATGTTTTCTCACAGTAATTCATACGGCATAATATAAAAACTATGAGCTCTGTGTCCATGCCTCACGCGAACTTAGGTTAGGGGTTTTGGGGACCCAGTTCTAGATTTAAATAAATATATTTCATTAGCTTCGATTCCTTCCAATGTATATAGTTATCTTATAAGATATTTATATAAAAATGTAATTAAAATGCTATTGTGATAATATTTTATATAATCATATTAATTTACCTCATATCATGCAAAATAAATGACAAATTATTAAAAATTGAACTCGTTTTAATAAATTAATTAACGATATATGCACTCTAAATAAACAATAATTAAATACCTACTGATCATTCTACCTACGCATAATCTATTATGATAGAAAACAGTAAAGTACAGGTAAAAGTGTTTACGGCGCATTCGCAACGACATAGAGTAGCGCACAGTTTTTGTTTGAAATAGCTGTTCTAGTATGTAAGTACATTTTACTTCAATGTTGGCATACAATTTAAAAAAATATATATTCTATTAAGGTAATAATAACGGTTGTTTTATACCAACACAGGCCACTCACCCTCATACAACATGATGAGAGTGGTCGCTGTCACCGAGCGATTACTACTTATAATCTTAGGAGTAATTACATACACATACTAATAAGAGGATACTAATTACATAATATATAATGTATCTATTGGGAAATTATTACAGTTTGTTTTAATTGTTGTGTTTCATAGTGACAGACGATTGTTTTGTGTATCCGGGAAGACCTACTACTCTACTCCCCTCCGGTGGCCCGTGATGCTCTATGAGAAATAAAATAGATTTAAAAAAAAAATCATTTTACGTTCGTAACGTTACGTACAAATACCTTGAAACTACAATGTGTATTTTTGCAAATAATTTAAAATTTTGTACAGACGATTTCAATATAAGTTATTAAGAATAACTCAAAAACTATTGGTCTGACCTTGATCAAATGAGAAAAAATAATAATCGAAATCGGTTCACCCAGTAAAAAGATATGGGCTAACACACATAAAAAAATCATACAGTCTAATTGAGTACAGTCTCCTTTTTGGAAGTCGGCAAAATTATTTGGCATAGAAAAATCCAAACTCGTAGAACGGGTAGTAAGGTAGTGAAGAAGAGAAGTTTTCGCCATTTTTATATTTAAATTTAATAACAATCGGGTAAAAAGTTAGTAAGATTTATTTAAAATGACAAACAGTAAAGTTGGAAATACTAATGATTTTTTACCTTTTGTCTAATTTTAACCTAAGTTTTGTGAGGTGTTTCCTAATAAAAACTTGTATTATTTTAAACACAAAACATAGTAGATATTAATAATAAGCAAATGTCCGTCCCGATGTTATTATAGGTATTATATTAAGATATCTTTATAAGTGCATCAATAAGGTAAAAATAAAAGTCCAATACAAGTTCAATGTTTATTAAAATACATCCAATAATCTAATACAAATTATAATACTAAATGTAAAACAATACAAAAGTAAGAGTGAGGAATGAATGATTAAATTAAAAAATGGAATAACTTATGCAATCATTATTTTTCTTTTATAAATTGCTTATATTGTAATACAAACATTGTGAATTACACTGCGTTTCAAACGAAAATTGTTTTAAAAATATAGGAATAATAAAATTGGAATATTTTATGTATAATCTAATAGAAAATTATTAGGTTATTTAGCATTTTGTTCTAATTTCATTATAATCGAAAAAGTTTACTATTGGTGATGTGTTTTATATTTTTGGTAACAATGGTTTAGATTTTGATGTATAAACAGAATGTAATTTATAAAGAATATTTATTTTATATATAGTAGAAAAAAAGATGTAAGTAAAGGGAATAAACTTTATAAACACAACTATATTTTATTTTAATATAAGACCTCACATCCACAAGTGTAAAGGATATTTCGAAAGTATAGGCAAGTTTATACAGGCTAAGAGAAAAATATCTCTTAACACATATCATACAGTTCACACAAGGTTCGGTTATACCTAAAACTATATATAAAAAGTTATGAACCGAACTATAAGGAAAACAAAAGTAAATATTTGATTATTGAGTTACTTCAATATGGACATACTTTGCCGTAGAATCAGTACCACGCAGAACTACTTAAAATAAATTTAACACTAACATAAATTAATATTTTGGTGTAACTTCGATATAAGTTCAATGCTTAATACAGTTATAAGCAAATGAGATTTCCTAAAATAAATGCTTTGAATAACAAAGAGCTCATTATTGCAATTAAAGTGCAATGATTTGAAATAAAAGTTTTACATAGGTAACATTTCATCTATGTAAGTATTTATATATTAAATATAAGTTATGTGGCAACTTACTTTAATATTTTAGTTTTGATTACAACAAACGCACAGGCCTACTGCTTATTATATAGGCAAATATTCTAAGTATGTGACATTAAACTTTGCTGAAATAGTCAAACAATGAATTCTCTACATTTATCCCCAGTCCTAAGGATTTACAAAACCTATTAATGGTATATGCGTAAGGGTAAATGAGGTGTGTCACGCAACTTTTAGTTATTTTAGTAGCGGCTAGGTAAAATTCGCCAATAAAGAAACTATGTTAATACAAGTTTATTTTTCATCTCGAAATTTTGGCAAATTTATCTATTGAGATACATACAACATTTAACAAACACTAACGCCTGTGTTTTAGAAATCTTAGTATGATTAGTGTCAAATTATTAAAATATAAAAACCAAGGCCTATATGAATAAAGCCTTGAGTGGCAACATTGTGCTTTCTCTTAAAGTTTTTACTTCCCAAATCTTAATAAAATTTTCGTTTAACTTCCTTTTCTTTATATTACGCATTTTTTTGGCGTGTAATGACGTGACTAGAAAATGTTGCCAGTGCTTCTTATCTACAATATTTGAACACACAAATAATGTTTTTTTTTTTTTTAAATATAATTCAACGGTAATTCATTCGCATATTTTATCCTTACGTTACCAGACAGGAATTGACCATTACAGAGCCTTAAATTATATCTTTTTATTAATTAGAATGCGGCCTAATTAAATTTGCACCCAAGAGGCAAAGACTGAATGTTTATAAAAGAGCGGGGACATAATATTCTGCATAATAATTATCTTTAAAAACCAAATTACTCTGAATAAAGCAGTAGACATGTCCATTTGTAAATCAGCCTCAGGAAAGTCTGTATTTGTATATTTTACTTCTTCTTGCTTTTGCCGAGTGTAAGCGTGTGATGGGACTGTGTAGTCTGTTGCTTGCGACGATTGAATTCTATTGTGTCGTCCTCTATCTTCTTGCGAAGCTCCTCTAGACGTTTCTTCTCTTCCGTGTGATCCTTCTTTAGCTTGTCGAATTTCGCGTGCAGCTGGAAGTTTTAAAATAAATTATTAAAACGAACAAAATAAATGATTTCAAGATTTGAATCAATTAGGAATTTGTTTTCATGTATGTAAATAACCAAATCAAAGTAAAGAGACAATCAGTACTGGGTCACTAATTCGCCAATAATGGAAAAGGATTACTCGTATGTTCAGCAGTGGACTGTTATGAGCTTATTAAAAAAAAAAAACATTTGTCTACATGATAGGTAATAAATTTCAGGAAGTAATAATTCAATATTTATGGGATTTTTTAAAAGTAATTACCCCTGGTGCCGCACTAGGGAATTTTCCTATGTTGTGGAGGTATTTTACATACATAAATCAAAGGCATCAGAAGGGGACATAGTGCCAGGACTGATTACACTGATTCCCTTTGGGCATGTTCATTCACTGGTATGTTAACACTTCATTAATCTACATTGCTCCGTTAAAATTATTACAAAAAAAAAAACTTCTGTTTCCTATCTGTGGCAAATAGGAAGCAGCGTACTTTTGACAACATAATGACGATGACATACGTAAATTGGACACCCAGACCTAGAACAATTATTTGTAAGCCATACCAATGTGTTTAGTGCAGGAATTAAACTAGTGCGACTTTTAGTTAGGCCAAGCAGTCATCTTTTTCACTTTAGTACAAATGACAATATGGAATTAAACTAATTTTAATTTTAGCTTTTAAATTCCCGGCGTTTTGGACACATTACGGCACAGCACCCATGGTCACGGGCAGTTCCTGGAGCGTCGGTGTTCCACAGCTACGAAGCACCGACACCGGGCAATAACTAAGAATTAAAAGTTGAAGGAAGCCTTCGTTAACTATGACATCAGGTCGTCTAACAGCCCCCTGTTGACCGTGAGTACTGTAAATTCCCAAAACGTCGGGAATTTGTAAAGTTAAAATTGAACGCGATAATATCCGTAAAATTAGTTTTATTCCATGTAGTATTCTCATAAATATAAAAAAAATCATCAATTAACAATTTTTTAATTTACCTCCTTTTCAGCCTCCTTTAGTTCAGCTTCCTTGTCCTTTACTCTTTGTATAAACATTTGCCTCATTTCATCCTCTTTCTGCTGCAGTTCTGCTAAGTGAGCACTTCGTTTTTGTTCAAATGTTTGTTGGAATGATACCTAAAACAAAATCATTATTTTTATTAGGTAATTTAATAAAATGCTATTATAACATTAAGTTACATAGACAATCATCCACAAGTTCTGTTATTACTAAACAAAATCAATTTAAATAAATTTATTATTGACGGTTAGGCCATGTCCAGCCGTGGGCTTTAATAGGCTGTAACGGTATCGGTATTACTGACGGTCTATGCATTGCTACAACAATAATAACTTACGTTATTACATGCACAGACAGCGAATGGACTGAGCACTCGCTCCAAGAGGTGGGACATAGGCGCGTGTTCCAGCCGCGCGAAACGGATACCGCCTTGGAACGTGCGCCAAATTGTTTGTGGGAACTCTCAAACATGGAGCAGGCCGTTCTGTCTGGTGTCGGTTTTTTACCGCGTATCAAAGTAGTTAAGTTTTGGCGCGTGCACCAGTTGGGACGGTTGTTTTCATTATTCGTGTATTCGTTGCGTTACGAGCTATGGATAACTAAAGTTGCCGTAAATTAATATGGTTCAAGAGAACTGCTGTGAAAGTAGTTTTTACCATAATAAAGCACTTAGAGAAGATGCACGGAGAGAACTATGAAAGCGGCAGCTGCTTGTACACGACCGACATCCACGTTGAACGGTCAAACACTGGAACAGTTGCCGCGCGCGCCAGGCGCGTTTAGATGATACACTTGGAACATTTGGAGCGCGTGCCGCAGAACGCACTAGTCGGCACGGTCATTCATAATCGATACGCGGTTTTAGCCACACAAGTGATCATTCTTTAAAAAGAGACTAAGCGACTGTTTGGCCAATACCTGTTTCTCCTCTACTGCAAGCCAGTGACGTGGACTAATCAAAATTTGACATGGACCAATCAGAATTCTAGAAAGAGACTACTACTGGCCGCACGTTCGCCTTGTCTCTTTCGCACTTTTCGGTCTGTATTGGCCAGCGTTGCCATATGTGGGGAATTCCCCAAATTGCGTGGAATTTAAAGTTGGATGGGGATTTTTTGGGGATTGGTATTATGCGGGGAAAATGCCGTCAAGTCAGAATCTTTTTTCAAGAAATCTAAATACTTATCTTAACATTTTTGTTCTTCATTGCACCACATTTAATTATCGGATTTATTTCGGCAACATTTATGTATCATTTCATGCTTTTCATTTCTTTATTTTTTTGTTTTGTTATTTTTTTTATTTTAATGCAGTGAACCGCATGCAAAATGCAGATACTATGGTACTTTTTAATAGCTATAAGGGAAGGAATTAAAAATACTTCATGGAGTAAAATGCTTGTTACAGAAATATGATGTGAAAAAAATTTCGGTAAAAAAGAAAAAAATTGTAGTTGAAAATTAAATCTTATAAAATTAGTTGAAAATTGTTTCATTTCTTAATTTCAGTGGAATTTGAGAAATTGGTGTTGGCAACCCTGGTATTCACTGCACAACTGAATATGGAACATACGGTTCATTCTCTTTATGTCTATCATTACATCAGTAATGATATTATATTATTATACATTTGGACATTGCGAAATCATACATAATGTCATTCGTTTCAATATTATTTGAATTGTGTTAATGGCACAAATATGAGACCCTAAAAGATGACTTGATATTCATATTATTTACTGAAGCGACTGTTATTCCATGATATCCTAACATAGTGAAGCTTCCAAATGAATTGCATCTGCGAAACACGTGTCATATTACCGACGGTTGTGTCTTTCCTAATATTGGTAGTGGTAGTGTTGAGATTAGTGGCAACTGGGATAATGCACGCAATTGAGGAAGAGTGAATCTTAGCTAATTTACTTTTATCATCTTTAATTTATATATGGAGTATAAAAATAAGTGCCATAAATTGAGAAACTTGGAATTTTTTACATCTCTAAGGAGCCATAGAGAGGAAATTCATTTCAAGTTGATACCTCTACCCATTCCTGAAAAAAAAGGACCTTGACAGACGAATAACAAATTGATCCTGCATGTATCCTGGGGTCTGTATTTTCTTTTGAGGTATGGAACCCTAAAATTTTCTCCAAGAGATTAATAATAATTTCCTCCAAACCGAATTACGGTGACGGCGGTCAGTCTCGATGGAGACTAGCCATCTGTACAGAACAGGATTATACTGCCATAGTGTATGCGCAAGCACAGATGCACTCTCTATTCGCTCAATTGCATATTCCAATGGGACGGTAATCTGCCATGACCAGAGAGATCAGATGCAGGACCAACATCTTTATGTGCTCTCCGTGGCACGGTGGTGAACCAACACCAACTTGCTGACTTCGGGCTATTACTGAGAATTACTTAACAAATACCCCAATAATTAATTATGGCCCGACTTGGGGATTTGAACCAGAGACCTCATGATCAGCTGTCGCGTGTACGACCACTATACCAACAAGGCAGGCAAGGTTAGTAAATAAATGAGATGAATGTTTTACGGGTTTGTTGTCGGCGTCGACGTCGGTGAAGCCCATCTGCTGCAGGCGGCGGCGGCGGTACAGCTCGTAGTGGCGCGCGTGCGTCTTCTCGCGCATGTCCTCCATGTTGGTGCGGATCAGCATCTCGCGCAGCTTCACGAAGTCGCAGTGCGACTCGTTCTCCACTGCAATGTTTTGTTACTAATTGTAGCCACCGACCAACATTTATATTATTATTGTTTAATGGTTTTATACGTGGTAGGGCCATGCTGCAGCTATATTATGGTTGCAGCACGAATGGGTCGGCTTGACTGGGGTCACTTGATGGGGAATATCAGCATTAAGTAGCTGCTTAATACTGCTGTGTATCATACAGTGAGTGTAAAGACTGTTGTTACTGGAAATGAGGCATTCCATCTTAGTCTTCAACAGTGACAACACATCTGCACTTTGATTCTTATTTGAAGATAGACCTAGATTTTCTAGATGTCTATAGGCAACAGCACCCATTTAACACAGGTACTGTGTGCTTATTTGTCACCCATATTCTATTAAAAATAAAAATAAATCATATATATACAAAACAACTTACAGTATACTTGATGGTAAATTACTATTGTAAACTATAAATACTACTGCAACCAATGTCAAACAAAAGAGACTATAAATGCATTGTCACCTCTGATGACTAAGATGAAAATACCTTATAGCCTGTACTTATACTGGCTCTCTATACCGTTTAAACTGGAACAAAGCAGTTCAGTCACTGCTGCTCGGCAGCAGTAATACGTTAGAAAGTGGTACCTACTGGGCCTTTCCCTATGTAAGGAGTGTTGTATTAATTGTCATGCTATTTAGGTACATATACCACAATCTGAAAGTTATGATACACTTTCTATTAGTTTCATGTGAAATCATAGTAATTAACTAACCTTGTACAGTACCCCAGGGATACTGTCTGGCACGCAAAGTCTTGTTACCAATCTTCACAAAGTCAGTGCTGCCAACCACAGCAAATGGAATGTGAGAGTTCATGGTGGAATTGACTTCAGAGACAGACTCATCGTCCACTGGAAATTGATAGATCTCTACGCCGTTAGCTTGCAGCTCTTGCATTATTTTTGACTGAAATAGTAAGGTTTAAACTTGTTAATTTTATCCCAACTTTTATTAGACTGAAGGTAGGTTAGGATAGTGTCATTCAAACAGGAATAATTACAAGACAACCAAGAGTAACAAGTTGTTTTTCCATAAATGTTGGCCCCGAAATCGAAGCCAGGATCCATGATGTAGTAGTATTCAGTTACTCTGTTCACTAAATCACGTGATCGTTAGATAAAAGTGAAAATCGATTTCGTTATTGTCATTTATCTGAAGTGGTGAAACATTTAAAACTGAAGGTTAATACAAATTAAATTTAAAATATGTAAGTTAAAAATTAAAACAAAAGATTAAATTATTCTTGTTTAAGTAATTCGAAAAAAGTCCAAAGTCCCGAAACCTTTCAGCTCGAGTTACAAAACCATTTTCAGTGCCTAGAAGACTGCAATGAAGTGGACGATTTGAAGGACAAGCTCGTGGAAACTGTCCATGCGATTGGAGCTGAGTTCGGCAAGACCCGCCGCAGAAGAACACAAAAACTCTCCGATCACACTCTTAATCTCATGGCTGTTAGACGGGAGATGAAGCTACATTCTTCAACAGATTTGACAGCATACAGGCAACTGAACAGACAGATCTCCAAATGCACGCGGCGGGACTTACGCAACTTCAATACAGCTCGTATTGAAGAAACGATCGAGCGGAATCAAGGCTCCAAAGTCTTTGCCAGAGATCTGTCTGCCAGAAAGAGCCAACTGTCAAAGCTGAAGACCGAATGTGGCAGCATCGTTTCCGGGGCACCAGAGATTTTGAGTGAGATTGAGAGGTTCTATGGGCAGCTGTACACGTCATCGTTGGAGCCGCACGCAAGTGTGAGTAACGATCCAAGAGCGAGTCTTATCCGACATTATTCCGATGATATCCCGGACGTCAGTCTGAGCGAGATTAGAATGGCTCTCCAGCACCTCAAAAACGGCAAGGCCCCAGGCGTGGATGGAATTACAGCGGAGCTTCTGAAAGCGGGTGGAAAACCGGTACTTGAAGGCCTTCAGAAGCTCTTTAATTCCGTCCTCCATAGTGGCATTACACCGGAGGCGTGGAGCAGAAGTGCGGTGGTCTTGTTCTTCAAGAAAGGCGACAACGCTCTCTTGAAGAACTACAGACCGATTTCCCTTCTGAGCCGCGTCTACGTGCTGTTTTCGAGAGTCATTACCAATCGTCTCGCGCGCAGACTTGACGACTTCCAGCCTCCCGAACAAGCCGGTTTCCGAAAAGGCTTTAGCACCATAGACCACATACATACCCTTCGGCAAATTGTACAGAAGTCCGAGGAGTACAATTTGCCACTATGTCTGGCGTATGCGGACTATCAGAAAGCCTTTGATTCCGTCGAAATTTGGGCGGTGCTGCAGTCCCTTCAGTAGGTATATCGTAGTGTTGAAGTGCTTGTACAGTAGGGCTACGATGGCTATCCGAGTACAGAACCAGAGTACGAAACCTATCCAATTGCAGAGAGGTGTAAGACAGGGTGACGTCATATCCCCGAAACTCTTTAGCGCTGCATTGGAAGATGTTTTCAAGCTTCTGGACTGGAAAGGATACGGTATTAACATCAATGGCGAGTACATCACTTACCTTCGATTTGCCGACGATATAGTCCTTATGGCAGAATCGCTGGAGGACCTAAGCACTATGCTCAATGACCTCAATAGTGTTTCCCAACGGATAGGTCTTAAGATGAACATGGACAAAACAAAGATCATGTTTAATGTCCATGTCACACCTATGCCGGTAGTTGTTGGGAACACTAAGCTCGAAGTTGTTGACGAGTATGTTTACTTGGGACAAATAGTCCGACTAGGTAAGTCCAACTTCGACCGAGAGGTCAATCGACGGATTCAACTCGGTTGGGCAGCGTTCGGGAAATTACGGCACATCTTCTCGTCAGGTATACCTCAAAACTTGAAAACGAGACTGTACACCCAGTGCGTGTTGCCAGTGATGACATACGGAACTGAGACGTGGTCCTTCACTGCTGGCTGGATGAGGAAGCTCAAGGTCGCTCAGCGAGCTATGGAGAGGGCTATGCTCGGAGTTTCTCTGCGTGATAAACTCAGAAATGAGGATATCAGCAGTAGAACCAGAGTGACCGACATAGCCCAACGGATTAGTAAGCTGAAGTGGCAATGGGCCGGCCATATAGCTCGAAGAACCGACGAAGAAAGGTTCTCCAGTGGCAGCCTCGTACCGGCAGGCGAAGTGTAGGGCGTCCCCCCACTAGATGGAGTGACGACCTGGTAAGATATGCAGGAAGTCGATGGATGCAGGTGGCTCAGGACCGTGCTTTGTGGCATTCTTTGGGGGAGGCCTATGTTCAGCAGTGGACTTGTGAAGGGCTGTAATGATGATAATGATGATGAAGTAATTCGAAAAAAGTATGTAAATAATTGATTGCAGCAATATTATATTTGAGAATATAAATATTAATCCATATGCAACTATCAATATATATTACTAGCTGGTACCCGGCGAGTTGCAGCCGCAGAAGAAAAAATTGCGGAAATATTGTTTGAAATTCGATAGAGTTGTATTGTTAAATTGGGAATGATAATACATTTATTGATGTTGAATGTATGATGAAGTATTTATTAATGTATAAGTCGGCATACCAACTTATCTTACAGTATGTGGCAGGCGTGTTATGATACGCGCGCCACCTACTACATGTTAATTGTACTATGCTTATAACCTTCGCGGGGGTGCAAGCAATAAGTTGACAAAGTTTTAGCGCAATCTGATGAACGGTACGGCAACGCATAAAATACGAACAAACAAAAATAATTTTTTATATATTAGATAATTCCGATGATATCCCGGATCATATAGCTCGAAGAACCGACAACCGATGGGGAAGAAAGGTTCTCGAGTGGCAGCCTCGTACCGGCAGGCGAAGTGTAGGGCGTCCCCCCACTAGATGGAGTGACGACCTGGTAAGATATGCAGGAAGTCGATGGATGCAGGTGGCTCAGGACCGTGCTTTGTGGCATTCTTTGGGGGAGGCCTATGTTCAGCGGTGGACTTGTGAAGGGCTGTAATGATGATAATGATGATATTAGATAATATTAATCCATATTATGCAACTATACTAAATATATTAAAAATTATACCTTAAATTTCTGCAGCTCAGTCTTTGAAATGGTATCAGCCTTTGCAATGATCGGGATTATGTTCACTTTGGTATCCAGCTTTTTCATGCACACCAAATCAATTGATTTCAGTCCATGTCCTGAAACATGTTGATATTTTTATGTATATTTTTTGTTGAAGGAAGGATGACAAATGAGCACAAAGTCCACCTGATGGTACATGGATGTTGTGGCCCAATAAACACCGTACAACAATCCTAGATTTAAAATCAAAATGCAGATGCATTGTCACCCCTGAGGAATAAGATGGAATGCATTATTGCTACTAATATAGGTATCTGGTACTCGTGGCTAACCATATAAAACACAGTAGCATAAAGCTGCTATTTCTAGCTGGTATTTTGTGCAAAAGTGGTTCTTCATTGTCAAGTCGCTCCATTAGAACTAAGCTACAGCGTAGCTCTTCTATGTATAATTTATGTGGTTGATAAGGAAAAAAGCAATTCATCACCAAAAGGTATATTCGTATATCCATGGATATAAGATACCTTGGATATAATTCAACTTTTTAGTTTCTCCTTTGTCAGTCCAAAAGAGGGGCTACAAGTCAATTGCAACTGTTATTTGAAATTTGCTTGTCCTGGACAAGCAGATTTATTGACTGAAACTTAACCGCTGTCAAGTCTTCTGCTGGATATTGGCCTGTTCTATTGTAGAAAGAACTTGTTACATTTGGCAGGTCGATTGGCAATCGCTGTATCCCAGATGTCTCATAACTTTGACGCTACTTCCTTCACCAATGTATATTTTCCAAGAGGCATATATGAAATAGTAAAGTGCTATCTATCCGAGAAAATAGTCTTTCTAAGCTTTTCCACTATTACATATATTAAGGCACTATTTATACGACACGATATGACGAAATGGTGTTATGGATTTATTTAGCCTCAAGTATGTAGCCAAGCCTCGAAATCATATTTGAAAATGTATTTCAATTGAATACTCAACTCTAAAATATTTTCTTTTAGTACCAACATAGTTAATTATGCAGTTAATATGCAGCAGGAACTGCATAATATCAGGATAAAGCCTTGTTGCAAAGAGGTAGCAATTCATTGAGTATCTAAATATTAGAATGTAATTGGCATACCATTATAGAAAATGTAATGTGTGTTCCTTTGCTTGGAACTTTACTCTGAATATAATACTGTACAGAATTTTAAAACAATAACAAAATACACAATGTACAATAAATATATATGTAAACTACAACACAAATTTATGTTTAACAGAGCACAATATGTTGAAAGGTGACACCAAATTATTATTCATAGAAAACTACATACTTGCAGCCTCTTTTTGCCGTAAAAACCGCCATGGCGGTGCCTGTATTTTGATTCACAATCATCGTGAATTCAAAATCTTAAATTCTATAGAAAAATATGGCATTTCTGGTATAATTGAGTGCTGTGCCATAGAACTTACATTACATGGTCTAATAATAGTGTGTATTTACAGACCACCTCGAAACAATACACAAAATTATGATCAGTTTTTTTCTATATTTAATGACATACTTGCTACATTGTGTTTCACAAGGAAAAAAATAGTTATTTGTGGAGATTTTAATATAAACACTTTAAAAAAGAGCAAAGAGGTTAACATGCTTAATCAAACAATTATTGGCTATAATCTTAAATTGACCATTAATAAGCCAACGCGAACTGTAAGTGGATCTTGTTTAGATAATTTTATACACAATATTAAAGGAAGTAAATATAACATTTTTGAATTTGCTCTGTCTGATCATTCAACCCAAATGTTAACTTGTAAAGTTAAAGAAACTTGTTCTCTCTCACATTGGTTAGTAAAAATTAGAGACTATAGTAAAGAAAACATGAAAAAATTCAATCAATGCTTAAAATCACTCACTTTTAACGAAGTTTACAATACGACTGATCCAAATTATGCATTTGATTATTTTCACGAATTATTCATCTTATTTTATAATCTATGTTTTCCATTTATATTAATAAAAAGAGCACCTCGGAAGAAACCTTCCTGGATATCGAAAGGTATAAGAATATGTTCAAAACAAAAAAGAAATTTACTTTGGCAATATAGAAAACATCCGACTACACACAACAGAAATTTGTTCAAATGTTACACAAAACGTTTAAACAAAATAATAAAGTTAACACAAAGGGCACAGAATGATTATAAAATCAAAACAGCTTCAAACAAATCTAAAGTTACTTGGTCAATCATCAATTATAATAACAGGAATGTGATTAAAGAGGAAATCAGACATATCAATAATAATGGAGTGATCACTGATGACCCCAAAGATATCGCAGAGTTATTTAACAATTACTTCATAAATGGAAATGACAGTAATATAAGAGCAATGAATATTAACTCCAAAGTACCCAATTCTTATAACTCATTATTTATGAACCCAACTACTCCTTTCGATATTAATAATATAATTAAGTCATTAAATAATACAAATAGCACAGGTTATGATGACGTTAGCACAAAGGTATTAAAAAATGTATCAACCATCATCTCATCCGTTTTATCCTACATCATAAATTTAAGTATAGCCTCTGGAATATTCCCAAATAAATTAAAAAAAACGGTAGTTAAACCTATATTTAAGAAAAAAGACAAGAGTGATGTTGCAAATTATAGACCCATAGCACTCATACCGATATTCTCTAAAATTTTTGAAAAGGTAATAAGTCACAACCTTAATGATTTCTTTGAAAAATATAAAATATTCACAGAGAAACAAGTCGGATTTCGAAAGAATAAAAGTATAAATTTAGCTGTCTTTCAATTTCTGCGTACTGTAATGACAAGCCTTAATAATAAGCACTTAGTATCTGCTCTATATATGGATTTAACTAAAGCTTTTGACTATGTTAATCACAGTATCCTCTTAAGTAAACTAGAAGCATACGGAGTCCGAGGAAATGTCCTCAATCTCATAAAAACATACTTAATAAATAGACAACAATGTACACAAATTACCCGTATATGCTCAAAAACGTATAGACAAATAGTTTACTCATCCTCATATCGCGAAGTAACTCAAGGAGTACCCCAGGGAAGTATTCTTGGTCCATTGTTATTCCTTGTTTATATAAACGATTTACCAAATTATATAAATCAAGATATGGTACTATTTGCAGACGACAGCACAGTGATGTTTACAAGCACAAGCAAAAATCAAATGATATCTGATATAAATCAAACATTAGACATAATAATTCAATGGTTATCAAATAATAATTTATTAATTAATCTAAATAAAACAAATCTAATGACATTTAGAAACGTGAAAAATAATTTAATAAATATTAATATTTGCTACAACGGACAAGAAATTAATGTAGTCGAAAATGCAAAATTTTTAGGCCTCAATCTCGATTCAAACTTAAAATGGAAATCTCAAGTGGAAGATATTTGTACTAAACTCAATCGGTTCTCTTATGCTCTATATAGACTTGGAACAATTGTGAATCAATCTGCCGTCATCACTGCGTACCACGGTTATGTAGAATCGGTGTTAAGGTATGATGTCATCTTTTGGGGTAACTCTGTAGATAATGAAATGATATTTAGAGCCCAAAAAAGATGTGTAAGAGCCATTGTGAAGTTAAAACAGACAGATAGTTGTAAACCATTTTTTATTAGTCTGAAACTGTTAACACTTCCGTGCCTTTATATATATGAGATAGCCGTTTTTGTTACTACGCATATTTCTTTATTTGAGTGCCTACACAGTAAACGTAATAATCAAAAAATATGTTTTCCATCAAACAACACAGCCCAATTTAACAACAGTGTATTTTGTATGGCCCCTAGAATTTATAACCATTTACCATTACACATTTTGAGATGCTCCAATATAGATAAGTTTAAAATACTATTGAAGCAATTTCTTCTTAATAAGGCATACTACAGTGTGAAAGAATATCTCGAAGACAAATATGAAATTCAATAATTGACTGTTACATGACTGAGAATAACTAAATTGACTTGACTTATACAATATTATCTAAATAAATATGTATTATCTAAATTGACTTATCGCTATTATTTTTGATTTTGTATCATGTTAATTCCAATTTTAACTAGAGTATGTTTAAGTAATTTAATATAAAAGTAATAAAATGTGATGGACATTGCATGCCAAATGGCGGAATATAGCTGTACTAAATGTTTGTTCTATAAGTGATAAACTATGTAAACACCAACTGTATCAACCTATATTCGCAATAAACGATTTGAATTTGAATTTGAAAAATTATAAAGCATGCATTTAAATAGTTTATAAATAATTAAATCACTGTTGCATCACACATTATCAAACAGTACACAAAAATATAAGTACTTTTAATAAAATAAGTGATATTCACTCTGTAAATACTTCTTGTACTATTATTTGTTGTGTAAATACTAGGAACAGACATAAACTAGTAGTGCCTGAGTCGTAAAGAGAGTTGTATACGCTTTTACAACAATATCTTTAAAGATCTTCGTGACTAACTATATAAATAGGTGGATTGTATGCAATATTTTAGGGTATTTTTCTGAAGTGTCCGAAGTTTCGTAACGGGATTTTGTGAAATAGATATGGACGTCTGTATTCAAATTTTTGGTGATTAAATTTATTATATCAATCTTTTTTTATTAGAGTTGCAAACTAGCTAACAGTCGATCAGTGGGTCCAGCAGTGTAGGAAATGCCTGAAAGTAATTATGTGTATATTGAATGTCTTTGACCAACACCTATAGTACAGAAGATGAATCCTCGTTTGAGACTAGATCGAGGTGTGAGATTATTATGTAATATTTATTTATTTATATATAATACATAATAGAGGTACAAATCGTTCAATTTAAAACTACATGCGGCTCCCTTATATTTTTGATAGCATTGGTTACATAAAAGCTTTTAGAAAAATCTACTTCGCAAATATCCGCGTTATAAAATAAAATGATGTGTCTTACCTAGTATGAAGAGCACCTCCCGCCCTCCCTGAATTGCGTGCACTATCCCCGTCACCACTAATCCCAGCACCAATACACTAGGCAAGACACACCACTGACGACAATACGACACGTGTTTC